TAAAATATACAACCTATAATTTAATCAGGGGCAATTTATTCTTGACCAATGAGATAGCAAGATATTTTAAATGTCAATATTCTTGAAAAGTTACTGTACAATAAACATCATTAAAAAAATACAATTCCAAAGTGAAGAGTCATTTTAATTAAATATGTCTTCTGGTGTAGACGATGTCACAAATTAAAAATTTCCAATTTCCAATCTCCCTCTTGAAAGGATCATAATATAATTATAGTTGTCTAATATGTTTGGAATTTTAGTCAACTTTTAACAATGGTTTAGTACTAACTTGTATATGTTGTAGTTTGAAATATGCCTTGGTTTGAAATTAATTTAACAGTTAATACATTGTATTCCATTTTTTCTGCTTCTCCTCTTCATCCTTCATTCTATCTAGTCTGTGAATAAACTATTAAATTCAAATKTTTTGTTTTATATCAGTAGAAAACATGATTCTGATTGCATTTTCAGGATGTCATGATCAAATACAATCTTCGCAAGCCACCATCCATGAAAARGAATCTCTCTCAGTTATTTGGTGTCAGATTCATGAAGAATGGCCTGTTTACAGAAAYAAACCACGATGATTGGAAGAAGAAAAGACAGACTGCAAATCCCTCATTTTATCGCTCGTAAGTAATTCAAACCTGGCTTTAATATTCAAGTGTAGCCATTGTACCTAGCAGGCCGGAATAGATTAAAATTATAAAAATACAAATTTTTATGTCATATTATATATTATTATGAAATGTTTTTTATAAATATAAGTAATTATTTTTCTTTTTCCTGTAGCCACCTCAAAACAYTGATTCCAGATTATAATAATTCATGTGARAAGTTAATCAAGAAACTGATGCAGTACTCTGATGGAAAAACAGAGGTCAGGATGGTGGATTTTTTTCATCGTCTCACTCTTGATGTGATTGGCAAGGTAAGATCATGATAGTCATCGAATGACAAGAGTGGCCACTCAGAGTTTTGGTCTCGTATTAATCTGCTGGTGGTCCAAGGTTCAATTTCCATTCACACTGAGACTGAATTTGTTCCAATTTCCATTGGTTCAGTTCAGTTTCGTGGTCATGTTTGTTATAATAGCCGACTGAARCCTTCATTTGGGATTCTTAGATACGCAGTGGCGGATCCAGGGGGGGTTCCATGGGTTCCTAGGAACCCCCCTCAAGCATAAAAAAAATAAAATAAATGATAAATGAAATAAAATGAAAACGCATCGTACAATGAATTTTTATTCAATACTTTCACACTACATTTGCTACAGTTCGAGAGGCACGTTTTAGGAAAATGCGAAAACAAAGAGGAACCCCCCTTTGAAAATTCCTGGATCCGGCACTGGTACTTTATGATTTGTGTTTCTCAGGGGCGTATCCAGGGGGAGAGGGTGTCACAGGGTGCCCATGACCCCCTCTCAAAGCCAAAAAAGCGTGAAAAACATAAATTGATATGACATCAATGTCACAGTGACAATTTGGTTTGTAAGGACCCCCCAATGAAAATCCTGGATACGCCCATGTAACTACTGTTCATTACATGACCCCACAAGCTTAGCATCATTGTATAAATATCATGTAATTGTATG